AAAACACTTGTTTGTGTTCAGAAGGGGCACTGGCTGTACAGGGACACCCTGTCCAAGATGGTGACGCATCTTTCTGGGTACATATTTTTTTTAAGTCAGCTTATTACTGAACTAAATGTTTTTATTGATCGCCCTTGAGTCGGAGCCACTGACCTTAGCGCACAACTGTCATTTCCAGGCAACAAAAGGAAAGAGCGGATTATTCTAAGACAGTGCGCCTGAGCTTTGTCCCACCGTCCCTCAAGAAGAAAAGCTGCGGTTGGGTTCCCCCCCCACCACCCCAAAGGCCGCTCCAGGGGTCCGGGGGCTCCAGCACGAGGTGGCTGCTCGGGACGGGGACCTGCCCAGCCAGTCCAGCGCCGGCGGTCTCCCCCCGCCCCCCACCCTGCGTTTGTGGACACAAAGCAGTCGGGTCGAGGGGCCGAAGAGACAAATGAACGCTTTTCAGGATTCTCCATTAGACAATAAAGCGAGCTGTAAAGCTTCAGGTGCTGTTTGCTGTGCAGTCCGCGCGGGGCAGCGGTGGCGGCCGGCCCGGCGGGCCGGGTGCAGCGGGCCGCAGAGCGCCTCTTCGGCTGATCCCAGGGAAAGATAAGGAGCCGCCGAGCCACCAGCTCTGTCTAGACTCGCGACCTCACAAGTCAAGCGCCTTGTTTGGATTAGCCCTCCAGATCTGCCAACCTGATCAACTCCCCAGAAAGGGAGGTGGAGACGGGGAGGGGGGCTGTCAGCTGGGACACCCCTCTCCCTCTCTCTGGGACCCTGACGATTGTCCCTCCTCTAAAGGTTCGGGGGCCTGACGTGACTGAGGGAGTGGTAGGGCTGGTTAGACCAGTGTGAGGGGACCCCCCCCACCACCTAGCCCTTCTTTTTTTCCAGCACTCTTCCCAACTGTTTGAGGGCTCGCTCTCACAGAAGAGCCCGGAACGAAAGAACGCACCGAGTGGGAAAATCCCTGAGACCCTGTAGTTAGTGAATACATGCATGCATACATACATACATACATACAGTAACCAACTCAAGTCAATCCCACATGTCACAGAATTAGAACTAGAACTTTAGATCGGTAAAGGGCAAAACAGGATCCTAGGCCAGAAATAGGCAGCAAAGTGGAGCTTCCTTAGAATGAATTGTCAGAAGAGGCACTCCACCTTTCCACTCCACCTGACCAAAAAGAAAAAAAAAAGGCAATCTGTCCATATCTGTCCCAAACTTGGGCGGCCCCTTTTGAGGGGAAAAAATAATATATGTGTATATATATATATATATATATATATATATATATATTCTCTTTAGGATTTATTTATCAACGCCGTGCTCTTTTGCAAAGATATAGAGAAAAGTTTCCAAAATATTTTTTTAAATAAAATCAAGAAGTTTTAAAATGAAGTTCCGGAAAGAGTCTTACTTTCTCACTTGCTTTCCAGAAACTGGCTTCGCAGAGCCCAGAGCTTAAGCATCTTAAAAATTGAAGGATGTGATAGTCACGAGCCTCCCCCTCCCCCTTCTTTCCCCTTCTTGGCTGCTTGTGAAACAACTTCTCTGTCTACACTTCAGAAGTCCCGGGGAGGTGTAGAGAGATCCTCCATCACAGCTTGGGACATTGTAAGCTGTGAAGTTTATGTTTGTGGCGCCTGGGCTCAAACAGCCATTCAGTGGCTTGCTTGGTTATCAAGAAAACAATAATCAAAAAAGATCAGTAAACAGAATCCGATGCCAGAGTCATTAAATTAACTACTTTTAGTTTAAAAAGCACCAACTCACACTGTAGACATTATGTTACTTGCTTTGATTTCAACTCATAACAAGAATTTAAGATTTGGAGTCATTTTCTAAACTAATACTTTTTAAGGCATGCATACACATGCACACACACTCACACGTGTGTGACACACACACACACACACACACAAATCCTTACTAGCAACCCTAAGAAAACCAGACTTTCCTTGTTGTGACATAATCTTTAATTATTGATTAATAAAATGGAAGTAAATAGTTCTTAAACAGCAGAACTGAAGCAAAATTTGGATTCTAAATCTCCCTTACAAGAATTGACAAAACCGAACTTTACAAATAGGAAAATAAATAGTTTCTGTTTAGTTTGTATTTGTGATGAAATTGAAAGTCCAAAGTGGCTGAATGCCACACAAACATCTCTTTGTGAAGTTTGGACTGGGTTGCAAACTTTTTTTCCTTCTTTTTTTTTTTTTAAGAAAAAGGAAAAGGCTAAGTAAATCCACATGGGGTTTACAATAGTTATATTTCAATTAGATTGATCTTGTTTGTGGCTTTTAAATTTAAGCTGCTAAGGGAACACAAAGTATTTCTACAGTAAGGTGAAAGTATAGAACAATGATACAGAGGAGAACAGTGGTCAGGAAAATGAGTTTAACAAGTTGATCAATGTGAATAATTGTAGCGCATCACAAAGGTGTCTATTTAATCTTGAACTCCAAAAAAATTGTCAGTGAACACAACCCTATAAAATTACAATGATCAGAAGTGGTTTCAAAAACGGGAGGGGGTCTTTATGTATGGTTCTTTTTTTGTATTGAGAAAATCTTATTTCTTGAAGGGAAAAAGACCAAATTAGAGGTGTCACTTCTCTGAAGTTAAATGGGGAAAAGTTTTGCTTTAAGACTATAGATACTCTTGTAGTTTCCCTGGTTTAAGGGGAGCATCTTTTTTTTTTTTAGTTGCATTAAATTTTAGCCAGCAGAAGCTGGAGGAAATGAGTCATAAAGTACTGAAAGAAGGATTCAGAGTAATAAGGGAGGGAAGCACACAGATAATAACAAACAGGAGGAATTTCATTAGGAATTTCAAAGGGAAGAGCAGTGCAAGAGGCGATTTGCAAACAAGAAGACGTTTCAACTACACATTTTAGAGCACATGCTGCAGAGTCTACAAGGAGAAGACACACCTTTCGCATGAATAATACAAGACCTAGAATGCTATCTACCCATCAATCCACGCTCAACTATCGGGCAACAAATATCTCGAATCTAGCAAGTGAAACAAAAATCATTCATCACCCCCCTCCTAAATTGCTTTGCTTAAATTCAAGCTGTGGCTTCAGAAAACTGACATCTATGTATGTTAAAAAAAAAAAAAATCACCCTCCCAAGAACACACACACACACACACACACACACACACACTCATAAATCTTGCAAGTCAATGGTAAGAGAGGGAAAAAATCACAATTAACGGTGCTCAGTTGTATAAGTCTAGCTACAAAGTTTTCTTTTGGTCCGAAGATTCACAAGGGTCCACCAAATGCATATTTGGGGAAGGGAATGGGGGTGGAGTCAATAGTTTTCACGTGGGGCCTGGCTAACTAGTAACTTTAAAGTGTGGCATCTTGGTCATGTGTACCTGCTTTCCTTACACATACTTATTTAATAGATATTCCAAGTAGGTGGTAAAAACCAGGAAGGGGGCAGGGAGGACTGGCCAATAGATAAAGCAAACAGGAAGCTAAAAGGGTCAAGTCCGGTGACATGAGATTAGACGGAGACAGAAGAGAAAAGGAAAAAAAAATAATAAAAGCCTTTCTGGGAAGATCGGTACGAGATAATACCAAACTCTTTACACACACACACACACACACACACACACACACACACACACACACACACACACACACACACCAACAGACAACTACAAGCCATTATTACCGCCGGCCAAATTATTACCCCTCTGTCAAGAATTAGACACAACAATCAAAGTAATCAACGGGCATGCCTAATGCACTGTAACATTTTCAATGCAAAGTTTGTTTTCTCTCTTGCCCCCACGTTCGAGCCTGTAATTAACCCGTTATGTAGAACGACGCCAAACAAAAGGCCGAATTGAGGTTCGTTTTCCGACTTGTGGCAGGTTTGCGGAGGGTGGAAGGGGACTTGCGAGCTGGGGACCGCGGGCCCCGCGGGGTCTCCAGCCTGGCCCCCGCCCTGTTCTTGGTCAGGGAACCTCCCCCTCCCCCCCTCTTCCCCAGGGAAGGTAACGCCGCCACAAGACACACGATTAAGGTACTTTAGCTTTTGTATTTATTAAGTTGTCAGATACTGAAAACGGCTTTACACTCGCGCATACAAATGAATCCAGTTTCCAAAAGAGTCAAAGTCTCACTGAGGCTTGGAGGGCGGAGGGAGGGAGAGGGAGAGAAAACAGTATGGCACCCCACCCTAACTCTATAAACTACCGCGAGGACGCACGGAGAAAGCCAGTTTGGGGGGCAGTACCCCACGTCTACACCTGGGTTCTGGCGCGCACCCGTGAACTATGGCTAAAAGAAATGGGTGTTGGAGGTGTCTGACCCCGGAAAGCACGCCTACCCACGTTTACCGGCAGGTACCCCAAGGAAGTTACTTGCCGAGTCAGAAGAAGCTATGGAAAGTGGGCAGGGAGGGAAGAGGGTCCTGGGTCTGGGGATTGCTGAGAAAACTCCTCTCTAGGCCTTTTCCTTCTGCACAAATAAAGCAGCATTTTCTCAGTCCACCGCCACTACTAACTAATGGCACAAAGTCTCTTTAGCAAGAGCATACATTTCCAATATGGGTCCTTTCAACAATCCTAAACTGGAGACTTTGGTATAAAGCACTTAACTCTAAGAAAATAAAATAGTGGCTCCAATCAAAAGCTATTTAAAAAGCAGGATGCTTTTCCGTTTGAGGGTGGGTGGATGGATGGGGCAGGACTGAGGAGGGAGAAAGGAGGAGGGGAAGGAGGAAGGAAAGGTTGAAGGCAGAATAGAGGCAGCAGCATTTCATTTCCACAAAACCTGTAACATTATCACAGCAGAGAGCTAAGGGGTTCTTCCAAACAACTTTGACCCAACTATTGAGACCCAGACTTGCAAACGGAACCCTAACTACTTGCAATACAACATCACACCTACTATACCTCAGTTTACCCCCATTCACATGCAATCCTTAAATTCAGATATTTTAAAGGCTTGCTAATAAGTATATAAAAGAGGGACCCTGAATCATTGCGTTTATTTAGTTATCTATGCCAAACGTTTATTAGTGAAATAGTCCTGAAGATATAATTCTACATATGGCGCTTTGATTTCACATAATATTTAAGAAAGGAAAGACAAAACACATAGAATTAGACATATAATTCAAAGACCACGGTACAACCTTTATCTTTTTTTTTACTTCAGCAAACAAAAAAAATAATAATGTCAAATGACATGAAAAGTGGCAAGTCTTCTGACAATAAATAATAAATTACTTTATAATTTTTTTGCAATGCAAGAGCAAACAAAAAAAGTTTCCTTTTTTTTCCTCTTTATTTCCAGAAAGAGAGAAAACAGTCATTTTAACCAATAACTATACACATCTTTGGGGGAAAAGTTCTTGGACAGACACAAGTCAAACACAATCCCGAGACGCTTGTGGCAAAATAGAGGTAACCTTGTTGCAATGCTTTATAAGTTGGTTTTTAAATCTGAATTCAAAAACCTTTAAAGTCGCTTCAGACTTCTTGATAGAGGATGGATCTCAAAAAAAAAAAATGGAAAGGGACCAAAGTAAAAAGAAACCAGCTGTAGAACATGCTAAGAAGCTTAGGATTTCAATGAACCCCTTGGTAAGTCAACTAAAAACATCGCACACCAATGCAGCTCCCACCTTCCTGAAAGATTTTCAGCCACTGATGCCAGTCTCTTCTTGTTCTTTGCTGGAGCTCCTGTTTGGCAAAGCAATGACCAATATAGAAACAGCACCATTCAGATTATGATGTACTAGAAATTTTTTTCTATTTCTGCATTTCTTTAGATGTGCAAGGGAAATGAAAATGCTTGCTTTCTTTCTTTCTTTTTTTTTTTTTTTTGAGATCCTTGGATATTCATCCCCTACGTTTTAAAAATGTCTTTTTTGTTTGTTTGTTTCTTCAGTACTTCTAAGGTCATTGAATAGTATATGTTGGGTTTCAGGTTTTGTTTGTTTTAATTTCTAGTAAAATCCCATGATTGTCTTCACAGTGTTGCTACCATATCACCTTGTCATTAAAACAGACTTCGTGCATTTCATGGAGCATTCATTTCTTGATTCAGTTTTCATTGACTGGGTCGTTAAATACTTTTTGTTTCCAAGTTCAACATTATAATTTCCCACTTTCTCCAACAGGGAAAAATAATACATCTGAATGAATGTTTCTCATGCCTCGATAGGACTGGCTACCATGCTGTTTGGTGTGTCTGGGAGCTGAGAGGACATGGATGCTACTTCACTGCCAGTGGAATTAGAGCCTGGTCCTCCTTCTGAAAAATTGACCTGTATGGAAGGTTGAAAAAAATCAATACAGGAGACTATTCTTGTATTCATAAAATATAAACTCACCATAGCATGGATTCATGTACAAATGTTTATGTAAGTGGATGAACAGATAAAGATAGCCACAATAAATCAGACTTTTGACAGGCTTAAGGCAAGTCCATGAGAAAAGCTTGAGAAGGAATCCTCTCGCTTTCCCATCATCCTAATGATCTGTGTTTTAGCTCAGACTGAATTCCCAACATTATGTTGCATTAAATTATTTAAGAGCAAACGTGTTTCTCGCTGTAAGATGGCATCATGACTCTACTATGCAGCACGCTCAAAATAAAATTATCCTGCCGGCTACATGTTGTCCCGGGAGCAGGCTAGTTGAGCTGTCTCTAGGCTTCATAGCTTCTCTTTTTTCAGTGGGAAAATCCGTAACACAATCTCACATCCTATGACAGGAGACTCAGAGAAGATTCCACAGAACAATGATTAACTCCTTAGAGGGCTCACAGTGTGGGCTTTCTCTCCTGTATGTTCTGCTGCCAGTCTAGGAGTCTCTAGCTCCCTCCCTACTCCTTCCTTCTTTCTCCTCCTCCTTCTTTCCCTCTTTCCCTCTCTTCTTCTCTTCCTCTGGCCCTGCTTCTCTCCTCCCCTCTCACTCTGACTAAATCAAACTCTTCTTTCCCAGAGGAGATACGTATATTATAACATCATCACGTTATAAATAAGGACTCTTTCTTTTAACTAAAAAAAAAAAAAAACCCTCTGCATATATCTCTGTTGTAAACAATCTTCTGCAGCCACACCCTCTTCCCCTACTTCAGATTCCCTTTACTGCTCTTGTTTGGCACTAATGTTTCAGAAAATACACAAACACTTGGCTGTGCTGAACCCTTCCCTCACATACTTTCTATCTTCCAAATTTTGCTCAACTAACCCATCAGAATAATGACTCTAAAATAAGATATACTCACCCTGTCCCCTAGTTCCAAAACTACCTCCCCCTCTACTCTACTCAACTTTCCCCTTAGGAGGTCAAGGGACTTCTCAAATTTGCCTACCCTCTAGATTGTCCTTTTACAGAGACACAGGCCTAGGGGCCAAGTCCTTTTAACCACTTGCCCCTGGCCAATTACCTAACTGTTGACACTGACAAAGCAAATGTCCTCAGGACAAATGTGAAGGTAAAAAGCTGTCCTTTAATGCTTTAGCTTTCTTTCTAATGGAAGAACAAGTTTTGAGAACAGAGACTCACGACTCACATTCAGTAAAATAGGATCTTATAGTGCTGATTAACATTTTAAACTAAACAAAAAAGAAAACTCAAATAGATTTATCATATTTAAAAGGACATTTAATGCTTTCTTTAATCTATCTTGACTCTTTAAGCCTTTGATGGGTGAAAGATAAATTAATTCTCTGCTCTGGATCTGCGAAACAAGCTGATGATAAAATGGGTTTTCACAGGTAAAATAACACTTTCCCCCCCAGCTGTAGAGTTCATGTTCCTTTTGCTATACATGCCACTTAGGATGTAAAGTATATAACCAATATAAATATATGTATATGTGTGTAGTGCATATAAAAGTGTCTAAGTATATAATTAGATTAAGGTATCCTGAGAAAAGGATATAGATTCAAACTACTTATTAATTATTTCAATCAATTCATCTCTTTATTGATAATAGGAAAATAGTACATTGGTTAGGTATTTGCTGATTATTGATAATTTATATATTATAATCTTTAAGTATGTATTATAATCACCTTGATTTAGGTACACATGCTTACTAGGTAGCAAATACTGACTGCTAATACAATTGACATGTCCTTACAAACTCATGTCTCAGCAACATGATTTTACAGCCTTGCATATTTTTGTTCCTATTTCTAGTTAGACATCATAAAATTAATCCTAGAAAATATGCTTGATTGATTTTTTTAAAAGTCATTCTATATACACAAATTATGCAGTCTCATTATTTGAAGAAAAAAAAAAGACTAACAAGAAAGGTTGTTTTTCTTGCATTTGTCTCCCACCTCACCACCACACTCTCATACCTCCTTAGTCTCCCCACTACCCTGAGGTTAGGGAATACCCTCCCCCTCCTTAATCTTTCAATGACACTTAAAGCAGAACCCCTTTTCTGTGGGAGGAATTCAGCCTCCTTAGTCTGGGAACTGACACTTACCAGTTGCTGAAAAGCAGGCTGATCTATGTCACTCTGCAAGGCGAAGTCGCTCAGTACTTTCCAAGGCGGCTGGTAACTTTGCACCTCAACTGGGTTAGCCTGTAAGCCACCATCATGTCTCTCTGGACTGGCAGCCACCATGGGAGTTCCTGTCATCCCCTGTATATTCTGTGGAAAAACCCCCATCCCAATGTGTTAATGAGCAAACTCCCTCCCTCCTTTGTCTGCACTGGCTAAGCAAATATACTCAGGTATTATCTTATCTATATAGTGGCCCTTTATTGACTCAAGTTAATCTGCTGCACCTATGGATATTAGCTAGAGTTCAATTTTGTTTTTCTACTTCTGTGGGCTGGACTTTTAGACCTGCTTAGACCGTATTAGAGCAGATATGCTATGACAGTCAACTTCCCCTTACCTTCTTAGCTCCTCCCCAGTTCCTCCCATCTGCCTTCAGAGGGCACAGCCTCCTACAAATGGGAGGCCAGCTGGGTCTCCCTTCAGCCTCTTGACTTGGGGACTTTCTGGGATATTTCTCCAAGCAGCTCTCCTTTTAGAGCCAGCCCCAACTCACAGCTTTTGGATCTGCCTGCTATTGTACTATTAAGCAGTAACCAACTTAGAAAGTACCCCAGTCTGCCAAGTTTCATGACATTTAATGAGTTTTATGACATTTAAAAATAGGATCAAAGAAGCAAAAAAAAAAAAAAAAGTGGGGGGTGAGATAGAAAAAGAGAGAAAGAAGGGGAAGAAGGAAGAGGAAGGAGAAAAAGAAGTGGAGGAGAAGGAAGGCAGGAAGGCAAGCTGGTAGGCAGGCAGGCAGACTTCAGCTTAGTTTAACAGTTGATGCCCAGTTCCAGGGCCAAGAGACCTCTGAGGAGGCCTGGCTGGAGGTACAGTAGAGGCTCCCTGTGGGCCCCTTGGAGGACATTCTGGACCTCATTGTGGAGAAGTTGTAATCATAAGTAGTAAGGTGAGCCCAAGAGCCTGATCAGCATTCTGGACCTAAACAAGTACTGAAAGTGTTGACCCTCTTTTCCCTTTGCGATCTGGGGAATTGATGACCTCAACTATTAGCAAGCCCCAGCTAGCCACATTGCTGCCAGCCATTTGTTGGGGGTGACTGTAACCTTCCAGTTCCAGGGTATGGTGAGGCTGAAGAGCCTGAGCCTCTCCCACTCTGCTAGGAACCTGGGCTGCTTGGGCTTCAGCTCCCAGCAGCGTTGACGCCTCCATCCTCTACCCCTTCGGATCTAGTTTAATCGAGGTGGTAGGCCCTCCCTGTCTGAGTTCCTACTAGCATCAGCCAGGCTAGGTACCAGAATGAATTTTGCCAGGGTTCACTCTCCTCCTGGAGTCCCTGGCTGGGCCCCCGGCCACTCACCGTTTTGTCATTGGGTTGTTGTTGCTGGAGCTGCTTCATCATGATGCTTCGCTTCTTGTCTTTGCACCGCTTGTTCTGAAACCACACTCGGATCACGCGGGGGCTGAGGCCTGTCATCTCCACCAGTTGCTCCTTCATGAGAGCATCCGGCCGGGGATTGGCGGCATAGCAGGTCCGCAAGGTGTGCAGCTGCTTCTCATTCAGCACAGTCCGCACGCGGGTGGTCTTCTCGGGCTGCTTGTGGACGTGGGGCCTCAGGGCTGGCTGCCGGGCAGAGATGGGTTCGGCTGCGTGGCAAGGAACGCTGTGAGCATCGGGCCAGGCTGCTAGGCTGCCCGCCTGCCAGCCCGCATTTCCCACAAGGGCTGATGTTTGCAGCCCTAACACTCTAACTGGGGAAGGGGTGAGGGGGCTGAGGTGAGAGCAGGAAGGACATAAGAGAGTGTACAACCTGGCTCCGAGCCATCCTAGCTCAACAGACGTTAGCCCCGAATAGCAGGATCTGCTTCCCAGCTCCTAACAGGGCGGCATTTTTCTGAACTGTTTTTCCCCATGCTCACTTTTTTCTCCTAAGTAAACTGAGCCCACTTCCAGGCCTCAGTGTTCTTCTTGAATGAAGGCCACAGAAGATATCAGGGAAGGAAAGGCCAAACACCTTAGTGACAGAGAGGCCACACCAGCCAGAATGTGTGTAACCCAGAAGACCCAGAGTTCTACCAGACAGCCTTGAACTTCAGTCCCAGAGGACAGTCATATGAAGAGAGCTAAAGATATTCGGTATGGCAGCCATCTCTTCGGTCCCTGTTTTTTCTTAGTACTTAATCATCGTGGGATGTTCCTGACCCAAGCAAAGGAAAACTGAAACTCTGCTGAGCTGTCTAGGCCCCAGATAAACTACCGCTGGGAAACATCCCTTTCCTTCCTCCCAATAGTTCGTTCCCCCTCCGTTTCCCACCCTTGGCTTTGCCCTCATTCAAGCTTGTCACAAATCCCCCACGACAGAATTCTGAGAGCTGCCAGAAATGGGGGAGGGGGGGGCAAGGAAAAGAGCTGTCCTGTCCTCAAGGCCAGTATTTAGTTGCAAAGGTTGCTTTAAAACTCCAGGAGGGAGAGTTGTAGATCTCTTGCAGACTTGAAGGCAGGTAGGAAACTCTGTGGGGCCTTGATCCTGACCAGCCTTGCTGTTGCCACTTTCCTTTATGGAGAAACTGCTCTCTGATCTATATGGTACAAATCGAGACCTTCCTTGAATCCCTGGGGTCAGGACAACACCTATGGGGTCAATTTAGAGCTGTGGGGACAGGCTTGAAGATGGAATTCTCACCAAGTCACACCGACTGAGTGGTTTAAAGAGGCAGGCTCCTTTTAAAAGGCAATTACTGCAGATTAGGTTGTTGACAGTTTTAAATTACAGCTCAGTATAGTGGCTGGCAGGTATTAAGACTGTATCTTTTTTAGGACCCATTCTTTGGCCAGAGGAAAATAAAACAAAATTGAAAAACGTTTTGGGTTGGAAAATGAGTCTCAAGGAAAAAAAAATGTAGAGGTGAAATAATGTTAAGGGCACCTAGGCTTCCTTCATTGGGTTAAGGAGGAAGCTCCAAGGACCTAGGGCTCCACCCCTTTAATTAAGCACCCGAGCTAGGAGAGTACTTGGCAGGAAGCTGAAGCCCGTTTTCAGAAAGGCAGGGTTTGGAAGCCGAGGTAGAACTGAAGACGCCATTTGGGCTTGTGGGGTATGTGTGTACACAAGTTCATGTGTACTCATATGCATAAAGACCTGTAGGTGTGCCGAGGGAGTCAGGATAGACAGTGCTTGCATTGATCCTGGCTGCAAAAGAGCATCGGGTGTTGCAAACGGTACCTGTTAAGACTTCATTTAACCACCTCATAACCACCTTTTGGCTAACAAGACTGCTGAGCCGGAGAAGAAGACGCTCCTATAGCCCCAGCACCTGCCTCCCGGAGACAGGCCTCCCTAGGGACAGATGAGTACCTGCCATTTGCAGCGGCCTTGCTGGATGCAGGGGACTGAGCGGGTCGCCGGCGCCCAAGCTAGCCCTCTCCACCACGTCGTGATCGGCGCGGCAGAAGAGCCCATCCTCCCTGAGCGCGAACTCGTCGCCGGGGATGAGCTGGCGGCTGCAGGCCACGCAGCGGAAACACTCGATGTGGTACACCTTGGAACGGGCGCGCATTACGAAGTCGTTCTTGCTGAAGCCAATGCTGCACTTTGCACATTTGATCCCGTATAACCTGCGCAGGGCCAAGCCCAGGACGGGAAAGAGAAGCACAAGGAGATGGGGGTCATTTCAGGCAGGCACTGCCCCAGCTGAATCTCTCCAGCGACCTGGTAGGGGGGTGGGGGAAGCTGCCAGCTCTTGAGATGTGCTGACAAATCAGTATTCTTAAACAGATCTAGCTAGAATATCGGAAAGAAGTCTTCATCCCTTTCCTTCTCCCTCCTTCCATCTTTTTCTTGCTTTTAACTCCTGTTCTTTTTCCCAGGAACCTCCAGGTCTATCAGTACCCAGACCAAACCAAGGAAAACATACTGGTAGTACTGATGCTCTAGCCACCCCTCAGGGAACCAGTCCCAGGATTGTCTTTTCAGACAACCAGGGGGACCCCCAATAGCCAGTTGCCCCGGTATTTTCAATCTTTCAATTCTTTGTGTCTCAATTTCGGTAAGAAATGTCTGAACTTGCAATGAAACAATGGTACAGCAATCCCATTTCATTTGTGATCACATGTAAAAGCACAAGCAGAACAACAAAACGAAACCGCTGAAGGTTTCCAAAGCCTTTACCAATATAGTCTTTATTCAGCTAAAGATTTCCTGCAGGCCACGGGGTTCAGGCAAAGTCTCCTCTATGTTCATCTTTCTTATTTTTTTAACCTTCTCTGCTCCCGCAATCTCTTTTCAAGTTGCATTTTGCTGTAGACTCATAAGCAGCCTGAAAGCTAAGAAGACTCACTTCTAAAGTCTACCGTTAACATTGGCCTTTTCTTTCCAGGGGACAATTCCTATAGGTTCTGTCTAGGTATTGCCATGGTCCCCTCCCCTTCTATCCATAATAGCAGAGGCTGGGCCATTTCTACCCAGAAAATGGAAGGGAGAAAAGACCCACACAAAGCCGGGCCATTCTGTTCCTTCAAGGGAGTTCTGGAAATCCCAAAGATCACCCTGTTCTGTTTTTTATAACTACAAGAATTTCAATGGTGTGTGCCTGGGCACACAAGTGTGCAACAAACATGCAGAGTTAAGGGAGAATGGAGAAAGGGGAAATAAAAGGAATTGGGCTCCTCTCCTCCCCGCCCCGTGGCTATCCAGAATAAGGTGCATGCAGTGCCCTGGGTAGAATTGGGCAAAACAATGTCTTCACAGGAGTAAAGATGCTCCCCTTGGTGCCAAGTGAGCTCCCCACCTCCCCAATCTTGAGTTAAACACCAGCCAAACCAAGGAAACAGTGAACCGTTAGAAGGTAGATTCGAAAGTTTTCATTCCTCTCTCTACCCAATTTTTAAGATGAAGACTCTACATTTTCGGTGACCAAACAATCGACAATATCCCTCCCCTTTCCTGTGTCCCCCTGTCCTTCTTTCCATTTTCTTTCGAAGTACTTTAAAAATTGTATCATTCAGGTTTATCAGCCAGTATTATACTCACCTCTTTGTGATGACAAAAAAAAAAAAAAAAAAGGACAGTACATAGGCAGGAAGAAACTGTGACTACATATTAAAATCTTAACCTAACTTTAAAGTTCTCAAGTTCCCTTTTACTAAAATATAGTCATCGTAAATTGTCCTTGGACTAAAATTCTTTTCTGCTGTCGCCAAGGCTGCAAAGATAATCTCTTCTTTTTGTTATTAAAACTAATAAAATATCCCTGAATGTTTTATTCTGTATAATAGTATAAACACACTATTAAGAGAAAACTTCAGAATTGCAAATCCCGATGATTCTTTGCTAAATGAAACAACAGCAAACAAAAACTAAGGGCAGAAAGCTCCTCTGCGGTTTCAGTCTTGTCAATACGAGCATTTCACTTATTTTATCAGTTACTAGATTTTAATGTGAGAAAGGAAGCTGTTCAATTATCTAAATGTACCAATTGTTCATAGGCAGATGATAGGCAATTTGATCTGCTCTAATTCATCAGTTCAGATAAGATAAGACAGTCAGATGTCACTATAGGGTTAATATTTTAAAAAGATTAAATTTCCGGTCTTTTTGCAAGGAATATTTCGGTTGGTTTAAAGAAAAATCTAGGAAGATCTCACCCTCAAAGTAAAAGGGTATAATAGTTCTACTTTTTAAAAATGCATTATCTAAACATTCTTTGCTCAAACTTTTATCTATTTAACTAACAACCCTCCCAAAGGATTTTAAGTTACTAATTTAAGTAGAAATTAAATAAATAGAAGCTTGCACTATACTGTAAAAAAAAGTAGAATAAAAATTCTCTTAAGGTTTGGAACCCCTCATTTAACCATCTTTAAAATTTGTGTTTGTTTTGGAAGGGAGACAATGAAAGGGGAAACTAAATTGGCCACCACCAATTCCAAGAGAAGACAAGCAGCCTTGACACAACACAATATATGGACTCACTCTGAAACTCTCATCCCCCAAAAGTAAAATGAAAAGCATAGTTTAATTGCAAAAATAACTAAATAAAAATACCGAAAGCGTGACTTTTCCATGCCGGACCCTACTAAGGCAAACTTCCCCCGAAACAACACAGCCACACCAAACAATAAATAAGAAGTGGGGAGAGTCACGGAAATCTTATAAAAGTAAGGAAAAAAGAAAAGAGGCATACCTGATATAATCTCTTTTACAGTAGGTTTTCCCATCCCTAACAAAGCACGTACAGCTCTCGTCCAAATACTGATTACACTCCGCACATTTCAAACATGCCGCATGCCATTCCAAATCCGGAGAAACCCTCAGAATATACTGATCGTGAATCTGATTGCCGCAACCAACACATAAGGAAATCAGACGTTTTTCTGAAATGAAAATAAATACATGATTGACTAACCGTTTACTTCCTACGGAGATAAACACACTTTTAGTGTCGTTCTCTTATAGGGTGTACTCTAGAAGAAATTCTTTCCTTTCCTCCCCCCTACCCCCACCCCTCTCAGAGTACTGCACTTCGGGATGGTAATTGAAGTGTACCATCAAAACCTTGACACACACACACTCTCTCTCTCTCACAAAAATGAAATTGAATATATGTAAAATACAGATTTGAATAGTCTATATTTGTAAAACTAGCGCACAATCAAACCCGTTCCTTTCGCATTTTCTCCCCCTCCTCCCTATAATCATTAGGAAAGATTATGGAGAAGTCAAGTCAGAAGAAAAGGTTTTGACTAGAACGTTAAGTGAACGCAGGGAATGTTTCCACGGAGCACGTTCTTCAATAACGCCCAGGACTGGATATTGTTAGCAAGAGCAGGCATCAATACAGTTGTCACTTTCTCTTTTGCAAGTCTAATGCTTAATTCCTATCTCTCGGTATTGTGTGTGCAGGCAGACCTTTGCAACATAATAACCTTCTCCCCAAACTCTGGATTCCCGAGGAGGAAAATCACCGCTTAGCACCACAAGGCAGGGGTTGGGGAAAGGTACACAGGCGGATTCAAATACAAGGTACGATCAGTTTTCCCCCTATCCCGTTCCCCCCCCCCACCCCAAAACCAGAACCCGCAGCAAGCATGCAGGCGTGGCGGCAACAAGGGGGGGGGCCGCAATCAAACCAAAAAAAAAAAAAAAACACCTTCTCTCTCTTTCTCTACAGGCAATGAAGAACTCCAACTCTAACGAGCCTTTGGCACCCCTGCCTGAGAGAGACACCCCCTCCTCCCCCAGCACGAGAACAGCACACCGAGCCCCACAAGGTAAAACAGCCTCTTACTTTTTGGTGGATCGCCCATGTCTCCCATATCTGTAAGAGGGAGTAATGTCCACAGTGAAATGGTGGTTGTACAGTTGGTTGAACAGCCACAGAGAGGATGCTGGAGCTGTGGCTTACGTGGGAAAACAGTGGCCCCAGGGGTTGCCCAGGCTTGGGAGCAGAGCTGCCGCCCGGCCGCTGCGCCGCGCCCTCGCCCTTGGCAGATCGGGGGAGTCCGATCGGAGCCCGCGGCGCTGACGGAGCGGAGGCTCTGCGGCTGCGGCGGACTCGGCGCGGCTCGGGCACCTCTCTTCCTTATCTCTTACTCAAACTTCTCTGCTCCAACTCAGCTCCATCGCCATTGGTCTGACGCTGCGCGCGGGGACGTCAGGCGAGCGCCGCGCCCATTGGCTGCGGGGCGCGCGGCGCAGCTGTTCTGATTATCATATTTCAGCCGGGCCGCTGCCGTGCGCCACTGACCGCTGGGCGAGCCCGAGGGAGAGGATTAGGGCTCCCAACTTTCTCCCGGCTCAGGCTCTTCTCCCGCCCCCACTCCCTGTCCCCTTAACCCCCCCAGCCCTTTCACCCCTCGATGCTCGGGCTGCCCGGCTGCTCTGCCTTTAAGCTGTCTTTTCTCCTCTTCCTCTCTGCCCCCAACTCCTGGATCCTTCCCGGCCGCTCTCCGCCCCCCACTTACCCCCCATCGCGAGCTCGCCTCGGGGGGTCATTCTCCTCTCCGCCCAGCACTCCTGGGGTCCCTGCAGTCCGCTGGCTGCGTGGGGCTCACTTTTCTGCCGTCGGTGGCGAGTGGCTGGTGGGTAGGTCTTCCTTTGGATGAGATCCTTCCCGGGCTCCCCGGGCTCTAGGGGGCGGGGGGGAATGGTGGGGTGTGGGAGACTTGGAATAAGCCGATTTCCTCGGTTTGGGCCACGGAAGTCATGTACACCCCGGGGGTCAGGACTGGCTTGGCTGCCTGGAAGGTTGTGTCCCCCTACCCCCCACTCCTTCCCCCTTTCCCACTCTGGTGGAAGAACTGGGAATGGGGCTGGTTAGACTCCGAGGAATTGCTGGCTGACTGTTACCCCATTACCTGCTCGCCTCCTTCCTCAGATCTCCAAAAACGTAGGGGCGGGTGTGTGGGGGCGCACTCAGGTTGCTTTGTTACCCCTGCGGACGAATCAGTTGGAATGAATCAATCGCGAAGGTAAAAAGCAAAGTCGAAGTCTCCGTGGACTGTCTGTCTCTTTCGAACCCTCTGCTTTTCAGTCAAACTTTAAAGCGGGTACTAACCCGAAGTCAAAGAATTGAAATGATCTTCCTGTGGTGAAAAAACGATTAGGTACCGTCCAGTTCCTCTCTGAACCGATCTCTTGCCATTTCGTTTCAAGCAAACCTCGTGGGTTTAGTTGGTCCTGTTTTGAAAATTACAAGTCTATGTCTCTCTAGCTATTTTTTTTAATGTGTTAGTCTACAAGCACGACTAGGGAGAAAAACTGAATACTCTTCACCGAGTGCGGATATCAAATACTTTCCTCTTGAGAAACTACCTGGAGAGTGTAGATTGTTAGCTGCATCTTGCCAATGAGAACTTTTCCTAATTATCCCTAAGATGTCCTCATCTCTTAGTTTCCCAAAGACAAAGTTAAGGAAGGCCAAGGAGTCTCTCTCTTCCATTTTCCCCAAACTTCTAAAACGCATTCCCGCTATCCAGTGGGACTGCTCGTTTTATCTTAAAAGGTCTGAAAACACAAACCGTGGAAGGCTTAATTTCAGTGTCTTGTTGCCAAAGGAAGACCTGATGTGTTCGGAAACTTCTCTTTGAAAGTACCTTTCACCAGATCTAACCTTTGATAAAGACCCAGGAGCCCTCGGCCGGCCGTAGAGGCTGAGTTTGAATAGATGCTCCTCTTGAGGGCACAGAAAAGCTAAGATGCATGAGTTTCCTCCTGAGCTAACGCGGGGGTGGGGGTGGGGGAGAAAGCGTTGTCAAGAACTTTTTGTTTTGTTTTGTTTCCTTTCAAGGAAGATGTCACATTGGATCTCATCGCTTCTATTTTTTTAAAATTATCAATTATGTCTGAGTGCGTTCGTGGAGGGTTGACACAGGTAGGTAAGTTTACTAGTTGTTCTTTGTTTTGTTTCAATCCACATTCTAAGTCTTCTGTATTATATCCATGGTGGCTTTGGTCACAATGCGAATTGCCATACCCATGCTGATAATAGATACACAAAGCAACTCTTTCCAGTGTATGGACGTGTTTCCCATGCAGATAAGCAAGTTGACCCCTTCAAAACAACAACAACAAAAAAGCAGATACAAAGTAAATAGATTTCAGCCAATCACATTCATGCATACCACATTTATAACATGGAATTAAACATGAAACATGTCCAGGGTTACTTGTAGTTGAGATCAAGAAAATGCCCTCACTATGAAGAGGGAAGAGGGAAGGAAGGAAGGGGGAGAGAAAATTTTAACTCCCTAAATCAGCAAGTTATTTTAAAAAAACGTTGTGAACTCGACATGTTTTCCTTTTCTTAACCTACACCATTGTATGCAAGCATTATCTTAGTTCTTATACTAATAAAAAGAAGTAAGAATGCATGTATAACATATTCCCCTCAAGGGGAGAAATTTGAGGAAGGACAGTAATTATATTGTTTCATGATGGATAAGTTCTGTAGTTTTATGTGTTTATCCATAGTACAATTTGCATTCAAATCCAAGCTAGGACAACAGGCCTGTTTTGTTCTTCCTAGATGTTCTCATGTGACTACAAGTTCTTGTTTCTTTAAGTGAATGCTATATGTGGATTCAGCACATTGAACGTATCTATAAAGTTGTCATTTTTTTACAGAATATATAAAACTGTGATTACATAAAAAGTATGATTAGCAAAATTTTTCCACAGTACTTGAACCTAGGAGCGACCTCTTGTGTTCACAGGGGGGATTAGACACTCTCCTGTCAAAGTCTGACTCATTTTGACCTTTGTAATATTCTATTAGATAAAAAATAGATTCTTCAAACCAACAGTTTTGTGAATCCCTGGTTTGAGCTCTTCCTTTGAGGAGAAGAAAATCTAAGTGTAGCACAGATCACTCCAAGCTCCTCCAATACACTTTATAAGGTCTGAGTGTAACAGAGATGCTGAGATGAGTAAATTCCACTTGAGTCTGTATCATCTGCCCATGAAGCATGTCTGTCCCCTTCTCAAAATGTAGTTGTTGCACCAAAGCTTGTGGGTTCTAATATTACAAGTCCATGTTTTTGTGTGCTGTTGCTTCCTCTTTTCTGTTTCAGTTAAAATTTAAACATTCAACTTCAAGCTCAATGTCAGATATAGATTCTTGAACAAACGTCATGAAATCAAGCCATTCTCCACAAATCAAAACAGGATTTAATTGCAATTGAAAAGTAGAATTAAACATTTAGAATCCATTTACTTCCTAACAACCAGTGACAGAGAGAGGTGAGTTTTAGCTTGTTTCTTGGAAAACTTAGAGTAAGAAAGCTGTTTCCTTCCCATCTAAACCAGATTGGGGAAAAGTGTGTATGTGTGTGTGTGTGTGTGTGTGTGTGTGTGTGTGTGTGTGTGTGTGTGTGTGTGTGTAAGTGGGGGGAACTTTGATCAATTTTCTTTAAGCCCTGAATATGGTTGCTAATTTACTGTCATGGAGGTGATGCTCTGTATTTAACCCATACCAGAATTGGGTTTAAAAGAATAATCATGCCGCCAGTTTCTATGAATAAGGTGTTCAGGTGGGAAAAATACAACAGAAGGATTTATATTTTGGGATTTCCATAAACATCTAATTTGGGAGTCAAAATGAAATATGAACAAGTTTATTCTGCTCTGGAAGAAAAGTAATCAAGTATCTGTCTCATTTCTCCTTTTTTTTTTTTTTTTTTTTTACTTTTTCTCTGTGGTCGCTAATCATGTAGAATAAGGGTCAGACAAAATTATATGGATTTAAAAGGAGTCCGGTTTAACGATTTATATTCAGCTGAGAATGAGATGTTTAGAGCTAATTTGCCTCTCTTCCAGTTATTGTCCGTGGCTACTAGGAATGGATCCAGAGAATTTGTGCTCTAATTTCAGAAGAGATCTCATGTTCTTTCCATTGGGTAGGAAATGATTATCTTTTCCTTTACTTTCTTGTTACTTAAAAAAGAATACTAAGCAATGGCAATAAAAGCAGTTGTTAACCAGAGCAAACCCTTAGTTGTGAGTCTTATTTTATTACACGGACTCCTGCTGCGCATGTGGTTTTGTTGAGTGTCAATTACTTTATTAACCAGTTAAAACAATCTGGGCGAATTAGCAAGACTTTTCTCCTGTGCTCAGAGCTTTCCTAGCCTGCGTTTCTGAGTTCAGGTGGCTGTTTCCATCACAAGCCGACAGGCCATTCTTTGGCTGGCGGCCGGCGCTGGGCTCCTCAGTGATCCACTTCCCTGTTCTCTACTGCGGTGGAACCCGAACTCTCCCGGCAGCCGCAAAGGCGCAAGGCTCGGGTCAGCCCTGAGCAGGCAGTGCGCTCCAGCTGCTTGCTTGCGGGAGTTCGGTCAAGCGAGGGCAGAATTTTACATCCTCATTTTCACGTTGTTGTTGTTGTTTTCTGTTTTTCTTTTCTTTTCCTGGAATTTACCATAACTTCTCGAAATCGATGGCAACCCCTTTCAACTGAAACTCTCCTCCCCACCCCACCCCACCCAACCCTCTCAGCAAAGGCAATTTTTAGCTGAGTTCAGGGAATGCACGAGGGGCCAGGTTACGACAGGCTGAGAGACCTGCGCCAAAGCAGTCCAGAGCCCCCACCTTGGGCAAAGCTTTCTTCCACGCACCAGCTTCTCCCCGTAGGAGCTCAGAGGCGCAGAGGCTTTCCTTTTCCCCTGTCCAGGGACGGCTGAATTGAAATCGTCTCTGAATCTAGCAAAACACCTCCCTCCCCACCGTCCCAGCTCGCAGGAGGAGTCTCGGAGGTAGTTAATTCGCTCTACAGGCTCAAGTTGATCAAATCGAGTTGGTGGTTCTTTGAGCACGACCCTTCTTTCCTCCTCGCCAGGCTTATCCGAGGGGGAGCTCTGAATTTATTTACTGCCGAGAGGTTCTCTGGCCAGTACGAGGTTTGCGGGGGGAGCGCGGGGGCGGGGCGGCGGGCTACCGGGGGGGGGGGGGGAGGTCAAAGGGGGGGTGACGTTGGGAAGAGGCAGCCGAAATCCCGGGTCAAGCCGGGGAGGTGGGGGCGGGGAAGGAGGAGGAAGCCCGAAAATCTACCAGGACGCTGCAGACCTTCCCCGGGAGTCTCTGAACCGAGTGCTGGAGTCCT